AGAGAGAGAGAGAGAGAGAGCACATGAGAGGGGGGAGGGTCAGGGGGAGAAGCAGACTCCCTGCTGAGCAGGGAGCCCGATGTGGGATTCCATCCTGGGACTCCAGGATCATGACCTGAGCCGAAGGCAGTCGCCTAACCAACTGAGCCACCCAGGCGCCCTGCCCCCTGTCCTTTTTATGCTTCTAGGAGTATTGGGTTCTAACGATGAACAGACTTTAGCAGAGTAACTGCATAAACATGGATGAAAGGGCTCTAGTCCCAAGAAAGAACTCTATTTTCCCTTCTATCAATGTCTGATTCAATTCTTTTTTTTTTTTTTTAAGTAGGCTCCATACCCAATATAGAGCCCAACACTGGGCTCAAACTCACAACCCTGAGATCAAGACCTGAGCTGAGACCATTAGTCGGACGCTTAACCGATGGAGCCAGCCAGGCGCCCCTGAAACAGTTCTAAAGAAACTGTAATTTTTGTCCACTACCACTTTACACAAGTGTGTTATGCAGACTGCAATTTTTCACATTCATGTTGTCTTTAGTTTTCATGGGGTGAATTCATTTTAAGCAAACCACTCAAAACACAGGCAGATTCGCCAATGATACACTCACCTGAGCTGAGTACAGTTTTCATGGATCCCAACTTCTAAAAGACATCCAGATAGTGCATTTTCTCCAAATAAAATGGGTTTGAAAGTTGCTGATGCACACAAACCCCTTCCAGCTAGAAAATAAAAAGATTATCCTCTTACCATTTTTGCTAAATGAAAGTAAAGATTTACTTCAAAGTTTCTCTTGGAAAACAGAAAACAATCAGTAGAAATAAAGTTTCCAATTTTCTCAAGAACTGAGGTCATTGTTACTCTAATCCTTTCAAAGCTGAACAAAGGCGCCTTTCTATATCAGAATACCTGGCCCAGGATCAATGGTTTATTCTGAACATGAAAGTTAATGCCTTCTGGCAGATGCGGGCACTCACCACCAAGGCAAAGATTTTCCATTGTTTGGAACAAAGTTATGGTCGAATCTCCAATTAGCACCATCCTGGGCTACAGGCAACAATGACAAGAGACTCTCCAGCCAGCCCCGTATTTAAAGATTTTGTTTGTTTATTGGAGAGAGAGAGAGCCGCCAGTGTGAGCAGGAGGAGGGGCAGAGGGAGAGAGAATCTCCAGCAGACTCCCCACTGATCACGGAGCTGGACTCAGGGCTCCAACCCATGACCCTGAGATATGACCTTGAGATCATAGCTGAAATCGAGAGTCAGACGCTCGACCAAGCCACCCAGGCACCCCAGCCAACCCCATGTTTAAATCTCTCTTATAAATAACCAGCACTTCAGGAGCAAACAATGTTCAATTTAAAACCAAGCTAAAGAAAGCTGTAGAAGCATGATCTCCTCCACCCTCCCCACCCTCACCCCCAGCTAAATAAACCAACCAGAATTTAAAGTGATTAACTACTTGATTAGAATCAAAATAAGGCAGTATTTCCAATTCTAGTTTATCAAAGAGCGAATCATATTACCAAACCAGATTACCCGATTGCCAAAGGTATAAAGTCGTCTCGTTATTCATCCTGTTGGTATTTAGAGCTCGAACAGGCTTGCCAAGTTGGTAACCTAGACAAACACAATAATGAGAGGTAGCTAAAGTTAACCTAACATAGCAACCCCTCCTCATCAAATAGTATAAAAGAGGAATATGCAACGAAAGGAAACATACAGGCAAAGCTTTGTCAGAATACACTTGAGAGAAACCATCTTCTTTCCTTTTGTTTTGTTTTTTTTTTAACAAAGCTTTTTGTGCGACTTTTTAAAATAAATTTTGAAATTAAAATCTGAAAAGACACGAGCAGGCAAGAGTCAGTCCAGGGCCCTCACACCAGGGAATCAAACGCCAAGCAGGCCAGTTACTAAGTACTGCTGAATGATCACTACTGCTGGTCGGTCCCAGGCGCTTTGAAAGGAGACTTACACCAAAGTAACCTTTCGATGGAACACTCTGGTAAATCAGTCCCACCCCGGGACGATTCAGGTCCTATTCCCGTTCTCTCCTATTAGCCTGCCTTACTGCTTCCACTTTTTTACTATGAAAATGTTCACATGTACACAAGAGTTGAAAGGAATACCACCCAAAATCAACAACCGTGAATTTCCAGCCAGATTGGTCTTCTCTGTATTACATAAGCATATACATACATATTTATTTTGGGCGAGACCTTTTGAAAATAAGTTGTAGACTTGACACTTCACCTCTAAAAGCTCTAACATACATCTCCTGAAATGAAGGATATCCTTCTACATAACCATGATACCAATATTTCTCCTGAGAAAATGAATAATTCCCAATAATCAAAGTATATCCAGTTCATACCTCTATTTCCACGTGTCCCCAAAAAAACATGTTTTAGAGCCATTTTTACAAACCGAGATGCAATCAGGGTTCACGCCTAGTGCTTGTGTTTCCCACATAACTGCTCAGCATTCCTGAACCAGCCGGAACTGAACCAGGGTTCATCGCTGCCCACCCACACCTCCCGTTCCTTGCTGCCTCCCTGGCCGCCCCCAGGTTATTCCTGTTCCCAGCCCGCACTATCTGCTTTCCAAGGTACAATCTCCTCCACACAGCCCAGAATAGAAACTTGCCGAGGGCAGAACTGTGACTCTGCTTTTCTTGCAGCACTGAGATCAGAACCTGCACAAACTAGAGACTTCACACAGGTCCTTAAGGATGGGAAGTGTAGGTGAACGGTCAACATTCCACTTCTCTGAAGTTCTAGAATGCCTGTCCGTGAGTCCAGCACACATTTATTAATTATCTTGTATTGTTCTCTGTTGTCTCTATGACCTGGTGCCGTCTTTCCAAGTAAGAGAATTAATTCCTTGAGAATCGGGCCCATGTAGTGTACTCCTCCTAAAACCCTTCCTGCCTTGGAAAGTGCTAGAGAATGAATGGCTGCGTAGACACGAACTATCTCACGGACTGACTGGTTCTGGCTCGTAATCAATTCATTCTTTTTTGACAAGAGCGTCAACATTTTTCACATATTCTGATGGTGTTTCTCAGAAATCCTGTGAAATTAAATAATGACATGAAAACCCTTAAATTCCAGGAGGCTGCTTTGAAATCCAACCATAAAATCCAAAATTCCACATTAACAAGTACACTAAAATCTCATTTAAAAGAAAAATATATATATAAGTAAAATGGAACATGCATTATTAAATCAACATATACAAATATTGAAAATCACGCAAACTAAAAAGTTACTTTAACTTTAAAAAGTTGTTCCTTCATGGTTACTTACTGCCTAATGAAGAGTAGTAAAAGGAAGAAACAAGTTTTTAAAAAAACAATGATAGGGCGCCTGGGTGGCTCAGTTGGTTAAGCGACTGCCTTCGGCTCAGGTCATGATCCTGGAGTCCCAGGATCGAGTCCCACATCGGGCTCCCTGCTTGGCGGGGAGCCTGCTTCTCCCCTCCCTCTCCTGCAGCTCCCCCTGCTTGTGCTCTCTTTCTCACTATCTCTATCTCTCTCTGTCACATAAATAAGTAAAATCTTTAAAAAAAAAAGAAGTTATCATTAAAAATTTTAGGTATGATAATGATATTGTGGCTATGATTTTTAAGCATCCTTACTTTTTAGAGATACTTGTTGAAATATTTATGAAAGAAATTATACATCTGGGATTTGCTTCAAATCATCATCTCAGAGAGAAGGGAGGGACAGATTTTGTCTGGAGGTGGAAGGCTGGAACAAGGGGCCATGAATTTATATTATGGGTACACAGGAGTCACTGTGCCCATATACTCCTCTCTCTACTTAACTTCTAATACAAAGCTTAACACAATAAAAAACATCGTAAAAGAACATTTAATAAAATGAGGAAATTAGTTATGATTTGTGTCTGGAAAAAATTAAAGATACTTTCAGTGTGGTTCCAATTATATGAGAATACACATATATGTACATTTTAAAACATTATTAGGAAAATAATGTTAGACCAATATTAACCAAGAAGTTAGACCGTTTATTTCTAGGTAATGGAATCGTGGAAGTTTTTATCTTATTCTTATGTTTTCCAGTTTCCCCAGAATGGACATATATTATTTTATAACAAGAAAAGATTAATCACTCATGTTGAAAGGCATTTAAGGCAAGAATGTTATCTTTCCTCCAGCCCATCACTCTTACTGAGCCCTCTCAGAAACCACAATTAGACGAGAACTTGGCATGAAACTGCCCAGCCGGGGAAGCGTCACCCCCAAGGGCTCAGTTCTTGTTCAGTTTTTCAAATATTTTTAAAAGGATTAACCAGAATGAAAACAAAAATTCAGATTGCACTTCTGTTTGTCACATTCGCATTCATTTCTGGGATCAAACTAATCTCAAGTAACCCCTTTCAAGCTCACGATGACTCAGGCCCGATCCACAGAACCAAGAACAAAAAGGAAGCGATGCATCACAAGTGGTCTATGAACCACCCAAGTGCCCCGTTTCGGGGTCTGTCCTTCAACATTCAACACTGCTGAGCGCTCCATGGACATCAGGGTTCTCCACACGGCAGGGGCTTCACGAAGAGGCCCGTTTCTGCGGCCGCGATACAAACATACTTGGGTTTGAGCGATGCCCCCATCATCGCCTCACAGATATGAGCTGCTTTTTTCTGTTGTGTGGTTTCTTTTACAAAGTTTTGTTTCTGCTTTCTTTTTCGGGAGGCTATGTCACCCATTTCTAGGCTGATAATAGGGTATCACAGTAGTGCCCCCGTCCCCAGTTTCAGGCACCTGCGGTCCACCGAGGTCAGGAAGCAGACAACCCCCCTTCTGGCACGTCACCAGGTCAAACAGCACCTACATCATGCACCTCACTTCATCCCACATCATCGAGAGAAGAAGGGTGAGCACAGGACAATACGATACATTGAGAGACAAGTAACTCACATATACCCTCCCAAACACATTTACATAATTTTTTATTAGAGTATATCGTTATAGCTGTTCTGTTGTTCCTCTCTTACTGTGCCCAACTTGTACATTACACTCTACCACAGGTATGCACGTACAGGAAAACCCATAATACCTACAGGGTTCAGTACTCTCCGGGGTTTCGGGCACCCGCTGGGGGTCTTGGAACGCATGCCTGCAGATACTGGGGGACCACACTGCATTCTATTGTAGACTCATCTTAAGACTAACCTTGAACCTAGAAAAGCCAGCAGAGGCTACGTGGTGCTGGTTTTACGGACACCCACACCAGCCATCTTCCCACTCCAGCCGCTGAGGGGCTACCGGTGAAATTGTTCTTAGACTATAGACCATCGCAACAGTGAGATGAACTGGCCCTTCTCTCTACTTGGCTGTCACTACAGAAACCCTGGGCCTGCCTGCTTTCCCTCAGGAGGCATACTAAAAGGGAAAAATCATCCAGCCTAGGCGAGCCAGAAAAGACTAATGTTAGTAAGCCCAGCCAGTGAATGCAAACTCAGTGAGGAACTCCATTAAAGAGCAGACAAAAGTGTCAGATGCTACGGGGCTTTCTGCACTAGCACCCATGACACTGGGGTGTCAACCCAACCTCCCCGCCCCCCCCCACACACACACACGCAGAGCTGAGATCTTTATCTGCACTTTTTCTTTCACTGGTTTTCTGTCTTGAAGGATCCCAAGTATAGTCTACTACCTCAGGTAATGGCACTCAGTGAAACGCGAATCTTTGTGGTGATTAAGGCCTTTGTTCAAACCTCCACGGTTTAAGCGTGTTAAGTCCCTCGGCTTGAGTACTACCAGGATGGAACAAATCTACCAGTTACAAATAAGGGAGCCTATTTCTCTCCTGTTTCCTGAATGTTTCGGGTGCTCCCCACAGCTGATCACAGCACCTACTGGGTAAGTGGGAACAGGAGCTGAAGCCCAAGTGACTCCAGGAAACAGGAAGAGAGCCCGGCCTTCCCTGCAGCCTCGGCTGTCACTCAGGAGTTTCTCCCTAACCTTGCAATCCCTTTGGAGTCGACCCAAGGGTCACTGATATCAGATCTTGAGTAGGGGTGTTCCCTTTTGAAATTAAGGGCCCCTCAGAGAGATGAAGGGAAACAACCAGGAGATCAAAGTTGGGGCCCAGGAGGAAATAAAATGTTCCCCTGAAGTGACTTTCAGTTCCATCACTCGGTATTAGATCCTGCTTACTACTCCCCTTCCACACTTTGTTCTTTCCCTTCACAGCACTTCACAATTCCAGTTCACAGAGCCTGTTTATCTGTCTCCTCCCAGGCTGTAGGCAGCAAGAACATAAGGACCTTGTCCACCTTGCTTACCACTGAGACACCAGCATGAAAAACACTATCTGGAACAGAGCAAGCACTCAATAAAGGCATGCTCCTTCATCCAGCAAATGCCTACTAATGCCCACAAATGCCAGGGACTGTGCTAAGTCTTGGGGAATCAGGAGTGAACAAGTCAGGAGAGGCCCCTAGCCCTGGAGGTTGACAGTCCATGGTGTAAACAAATGATAAAAAAGTAAACAGATACATAAACAAGCGTTTATCATTACTTGTTGGGAAGACAGTTCCCATTCCTTAGTAGGCAGTGGTATGCACATCACACATCAGTGAACAAAACCAAGGAAAACCCCTTCCCCTCAAGGCGCTTACACCGAGTTCATTCCCAATTCAGGTTCTGGGCTCCTTCTGTTCCCTCCATCCGGGACCCTGTCCCCCCAGATCTTCCAGGGCCAGCTCTTTCCCATTCAGGCCTCATCTTGGCTCAAACGTCACCTCCTCAGAGGGGCCTTCCTTGACCATCCCGACTCGAGTCACCATCCCATCATCCCCCTTTCATTACCCTCACAGCAAACATTATGTTTACGTATTTACTTGCTTGGTATTTGTCCCCGCCACCCCCATTAGTTCCAAAAGGTCTCCAAAAGGCCTCATCAGATTCGTTCTCCCCCCGGTTAGCCCAGTGCCTGGCACGGAGTCGGCGCTCCGAAGCATCTGATGGCACTCCCCTAAGTTGATGAAGACTACACAGAGCGTTCCTAACTAACCCGGCCAAAGCCGCCGCCGACCAGACGCCCGGCGACCCGGGGCTCGCGCCCCGCTCTGCGGAAGCTCTGGCCAGTAAGCCGGGCCCCAGCTTCCCTGCCTGCGAAATGGGGACAGCGGCGCGCCCCTGCCAAGGAGCCCGCGGAAGGGAGGCCCGAGCGAAAGGCGAGATGCCGCGCTGGGCGGGCAGGTGCGGCCCGCGTCTCCTGGACGACACTCACGTCTCGGAACTGGACCAGGCCCTTCTCGCCCAGGGCGCTGAGGCACTCGTAGGCAGTGCCGGACTGCAGGAACAGCTGCGCCAGGCACATGGTCTCGCTCCGGAACAGGGACCCCATGGCGGGCCAGCCCGCGCCCCGGCGAGGCCGGACGGGCGGCGGCGGCTCCGGGCCGCTCGGG